CTGGACAGTCTTATGTGCTGGCTTTGGTAAACTTTCTGCCATCTTATGTTGGTACTTGAGTAAGCCTAACACAGTGCAGCTGAAGGGGGATAGTTTTTTCCTAATTTGTTTGCTACTTTCCTAGTGCCTTCTAAGTACTGGGTCCTTATCATTATTCCTATTTTTGGTGACATGCTCGTCAGTGACTAGTTGGTTGACAAAATGTTTCCATTTCTGTGTTAAGCTCATATTACCTTTTGTCTGTGGATCACACACAGGAAATACATACATTACAGAGAAAATCTTTACATAATTTATGTCAGTGCTAAGAATTGTAATGCTAATATTCTGAGCTTTGATTTCTTTGATCCACACAGTGCTGGATGCTTCTAAAAACTGAAGTGACTTCTTTCGTTTACAATGTTATCTAGGGGTCAGGTGCACAGTCTAGAAGGCCAGCCCTGAGTGTACCTGTTGTCAGAAGTCTGGTTTGCATCCGTCACCTGCCAAACTCTGCAGGACTATGAGTTCCTGCTCTGTCCCCACCTTGCACTCATGCAGGACTGAGTCTGAGAGCCATTGGAATGTGTCCACAGCCACGCAAATCAGAAAGGATGCTGGAGGCTCAAGTTTCAGCACTGAGTCACGGTGCTGTGACATCAGTGATTTCCAACTGGGAATTTGCAGATTAGCAATTCATCTCTCTGTAGAAACTTTTCTCACTTTTTAAGTTGTCATAGGGAACAATAAGGTATCTTTAAGACACTGGTTCTCAAATTTGGCTGCACTTTGGAATCATGTGAGAGTTAAAAAATCGACAGCTGGTGACTAAGTCCTACCCTTACTGTGTGGTGGGCAAACGGGTGTGGCTTGGCCACTGGGACTTTTAGAGGTCGTACACATCAGAGGTTGAGCACTCCTGCTTTGGAGTGATGCAGTTTTATGTTTAGTTTATGTTCTAAATTCCCATCCTTCTGTTAGTAAAAAAAATTTAAAATCTTTCTATTACACAGGTAGTACAGATTTACTCTAGAAACTAGAAGCCAGAAAAATAACAGTGAAAATTGTTTGTGCCATATTTTTTCCTGTATGTATTTATGTACTTAAAATCTTGCCTATAATATTACTTTTCTATAGGTTTTCATATGTTTAATGCCATATTGTCTTGCATCTATTGTGTGTATTTATATGATTTGACAGACTGACAAATTCTTGATTCTTAAACACATATAATGATGTTGGTATATTAACTCTTATAGGACAGTAACTTTGTTACTCTGATAAATTTGTGGATACTTTTTTTTTAAAGATTTATTTATTTATGCATACAGAACTGGGGTACAGGCCAGAGGTGCAGGGGCAGCGAGAGGCTTCACCAGAGACAGAGTGGGGAGCAGAACGGGCATATCGATGAAGTACACTGCTGAGGGGAGCAGCGGGCGGGTCTGGAGAGGTCTGCCGCACCTTGTGGGTCACCTCCGGGGCAGGTGGGAATCGAATTCATGCGGAAGTGGCTTTAGCTTCTCAGTGCTGTGCTTTAACCCGCTGCGCCACCAGGGAGGGCCAATTTGTGGATACTTTTATCTTATTTTATGGAGTGTTTATCAGACGAAATAGATAGCTCTTTTTGTACTCTACCTGTACAATGCTTTTTTAGACAAGCAAGGATTTGTTTTATTGTCTTATCTCCATTCTAGATTAATAAGGCAGAGCCCATGCTTATGCCTGGGATCTGGTATGCAAGTAAATAATAAATGCCTAAGTGGTTGTTAAAGTTCTGAAAAATGTATTTGGAATTGTTGGGTTGGAAGAAGAGAGGAGAAGTAGGGGATTGAGATAAGAACAGGGCGTAGGGGGCAATAAGGATAGATGAGCTGCAGATCCTTCAAGAAAGGCAAAATATCCTCTTGTTCCAGAAGCTTCCAGACTTGGCCCCCAAAAAGCTCAGGTAATCTTCTATGGGGGATAGTTCCACCCCACATTGCCTCTATCCTTCCTTCTCCCCTATCCTACCCAACTGTTATAATTAAAAAGCTAAATTCCATATACTTTCAGAGTAAAATCCAAATAATTTGGAGCTTGCTGCTCCCAACTACTTCCCAGATAAAGATTTTGATGAGACACTATAGTGCCACATACAACCAGAGCCTGCCGCATTAACAACTGTGACTGTCATGTCCTGTCCTACAACTGTCAGGATGAGGAGAATTTAAGTAGATATGGGGAGGGAACTGAGAGCATTAAAAATTCCATGAGGGGCCCTCCCTGGTGGCGCAGTGGGTTAAAGCAC